CCCCAACTTCGCCTAAATTAACATTCATTTTCAAGTTTACATTTGTTTCATTTTTTTTTATGTGTGGCAATATCTCGCAAAGACGCTAGTATTTCTTAGGTGAAGTTATACATACTATTCTAACAAAATGTAATTGTGAAGATAAAAGCAAAAGAACATGACCCAAATTAATAAGCTTGACCTAAACTCACAAAAAAAGGCCCATTATATTCAAAGATCGACATATTTTATGTATGCTTATAAGCGCCATAATATAAAATAAAAGGAAGATACAATTAGTGGATACAATTAATATTAATTGCATTTATTAATATTAATAACAAATATTATGTCCTAGAGTTGGTGTGTTCTGCCCTTTGACAAATTGACGAAAACAGTGGAGTTACTAAATATTATTAATCGTCACTAAAGTGTTCGTAAGGGATAGCGGCTGGTATGGATCTCCATAACTGTATTACTGATATCTAGTGTGGGTAACAATAAAACATGCATAAGAAAACTACATCTTTTGATGAAAAAGGCTTTGCTGATGTTTTATATTATCAGTATATTAAACAATTGTTTTTATTATATAAAAGAAATCAAATTTAAAATATTTATGTGTCTAAACTTTTACTTCTAGCGAAAAGAATAAACGCATACCAACACACTTCTACATAAAGAATAAAACGTATACCAACACGCTCCTGATGAATGTAATGAACCTCTAGTTTCTTACAAGTATGATATATGCACTGTAAAAAGCTTACAACTTTTTTTTTTAAAACGGGGTTGCGTTTTTGCATTGTTTTGCTGCAGATAATTTCTAAATGCGACAGCATTTCGACGCTTTTCCCATGAACACCATATTCCGCTGATTAAATTAAAACGAGCATCATTTCCACACTCGACTCTGGGTCGTAGCAAAACGAGCCCAGCATCCATCTTCGTCCTAGCCAAACAGCCAGGTCTTGTTCACTCCGCTCTTTTCTCCTTTGCAGCATTATGAAGACAACCGGGGCACTTATAGCAAGCGTGGGACTTCTATTATAGACCCCTTCGAAAGTGCGTCTTCTGTTGGAAGCTTTGTAATCTCTGCACAACGGCAGACAGAAGCGCGAGCTCGTTGTGCTCCTTGGCGCCTCGGCTGCACCAGGCATCGTGCAGGTGGATCAAAACTTAATGGGGCGATGCAACGAGTTTTGTATTTTGCGGAAACACTGCTTAGAGCGGATCCCTGACGTTAATGACCTGTGAAATACCCATTCGTTTTTCACCCCACGCAATCGAAGTCGCAGAAAATAATAAAGAAAAACAAGCAGAGATCACCCCCTCAACTCGCAGCCAGAACAAGCGGCCACGTGATCTGGAGCCGATTATATGCCGCCAATGTTGATCATAGCCATGCGCTGGGGTTGGCAAAGCACAGGACACGCGCTGCGTTCCAGGCATTGTTTTGGTTCGGCTGTTGTCGTCATTGCAGCGATTGGACACACGACATGCACTACCCAAATTCTTCTCGAGCTATAGATTATCACGAGCCCAAATCGAGTGCCCACGCAATGCTCGGGTCCAATCTATGAGCCGCATTAAAATATCGTCACTGGGCGGTACTGCTACCGCCCAGCTACGTCATCAGGTTGTGCGAAGGAGAGAATGAATGAAACCGCTCGGTTTTGTCATCGAAATTACAGCGCAACAAAGGAGTTTCTTGGTCAGTGGCGTTGCGTGCGAGTATCCTTGAGTCCCACTAGTGCCAGTAAGCTCGTGTAAAGTTTAAAACATTCCAATTGAATATCGCTGCACCGCCCCTTTAAAGGGATGCTGAACGAAACATTTCATTGTGTATAATAGGTGGCGCACGATCTTTTCACGAGCCAGCAGCCGCCGGTGTGCGGAAGCACACGCAACAAAATTGACGTCATTATATTCCCCATTCACGCTTAAAGGAGTTGTGCAATGATTTTAACATTAAAAGAATTGCCATCTTCTGGTTTTGATATTGTTCACCTTGTCACAAATGACAGAAAACACACCTCCTTTCATCGAAATGTTGCGATTCCGCCGCGTAATAGCGAGGCAAAACTTAGAATATTCCCCGACCTGCAGCGGCGAGTGGCGGCCATGAGAAACACGCGGCGTGACGTCAATTGAGAATCTTGTAGAAAGATAGCAAGTTGTGCGAATACCTGCTCAATAAAAGGTAACTTTTCTACAAATCTTGTCGTTCCAACATATTGTGACGGTTGTAAGAAGAGGAAGAAGACGTCACGTTGGCGACAAGCGGGGAACAGATTGGGGCAAAGGACACGCTTAAATAAAAGCGTTACACTGGTGTCAGAAGTGGGATCTTCAGTGAAGACGCCTTCTGCCGGCACGCATGGACCTTCCTCGACAGCCTGAGGATGAGATCCCGCGAACCGGAGAAGCCATCGCGCCCCGGCCGGTTCCCGACTCCATTGACCCTAACATTCGAACTGAGACTTCATCGGCCATTGAAGCCCTGCTGGATGCCCACCACCAACGGACTGCCCAAGAGCTCAGGCACAGAGACGCGGCCCTTTTGGAGGTTCTGTCGAATTTATTCGAACGAATATCGGTCGCACTTCTTGATGGCCTGCGAGCGCTCGTCCAGCCAGGACTTTCGAAGGCAAGTCCAAGTTATCTGCCGCCAACATCAGTGACGACAAACGTCGCGTCGACTATACCTTTATCTACTCCACGCCTTAAGCTGCGGCCATTGCAGTTTGACGGCACAGGCACATGGTCTGCCTACGTAACACAGTTCGAGATTCTTGCTAAAGCCAATCGCTGGACCGAAGAGCAGCAGGCACAAGTACTTGCAGTAAACCTCAGCGGTCCAGCGTTGCAAGTGCTCCACCACATGCCGCCTGAATCCCGTGGTTCGTACACCTTGCTGGTCCAGGCGTTAGAAGAACGTTTCGGCGATGGGCCTCAACGTCACCTTCACCATGCTGAGCTACGTCATCGACGACAAGCATCGGGTGAGACGTTGTCCCAGCTCGCTGACGACATCGAGCGTCTTGCGCGCTTGTCGTTTCTCGGGTCTTCCGAAGACACCGTAGATGCTGTCAGCACTGCGGCGTTCATTGATGCTGTTGCATCTGAAGATATTCAAGAAGCTGTGCGTCTTTACCACCCCCGCACGTTTCGGGCCGCTCACACGTATGCATTAGAAGTGGAGGCCGCTCGCAAGGCCTCACGGTGGACAGCCATGCATCAGTCGGCAACCACCCTTCCGACAATGGCTTGCTCGAGTTCCCAAGAAGAAGGCCACAGCAGAACAGAAAGTGAAGATGCTCAACCAACAGTTGCTTTTTGCAAGGAAACTACACCTGCTACCTCGCTAGGCTCGTGTTCAGTTGAACTCGGCGCTCACCTTATTCCGCTATACGAGACTACTGCTTCTCGACTTCAACAAGATGACGCTGTCCTTCTAAAAAGCTTTCTATCTCGTTTTTCGACGGTATTCAGCAGTAGCAACACCGATTTGGGAAAAACAAATCTGACCGCACACCGCATCATAACCGGTGATGCTGCGCCCATTCGACAGCCACCTCGCAGGGTGCCGCTGGCTAAGCGCGCGCACGTAAATGACCTTGTTCAAGAAATGCTCACACAAGGTGTCATTGAGCCAGGATTTGAACTCTGGGCCTCCCAATGTCCGGTCGGGTGTGCGCGCTTTGACGCATATAAATGCGTCAAAAACCTGGTATCATCGACAAAACTTTTATTGTACGGAGTTTTAGTGGCGCCATCTATCCTAGGTCCACAAAACCGTCAGCTCTCTGCTACCGCGAACAGCCGCCAGAAGCCGGAGGGAGAGGGGGACAGGGCCGGACGGGTATGGCCGGACCCGGATGAGACTTTCCTCCTTTCACCATATTGTTCGCGCGGCGCCCGCCAGCACGTGGTCACGCGGTCGCGAGCGGATGAGTTCTCGCAGCTCATCGATGGCTCTAAAGAGAGAACCTTTCCGGAACCCCGCGCCTACCCCATCAACGTCACTGCGCACGTGACCCGGAAGACGATGTACGAGTTGAGAGGTGGCAAAAACCTGGATCTTTTTAATTTTTTTATAAAAACTACGGTATGGAGGCAAAATCGGTTTTCCGTACTTCACTTCAGAAGTGTCACGCATCAACTTCCACCATAATTTAAGCAAAGCTCTGAAATTGTTGCACAGCTCCTTTAACTCGAATATGATATGATGAATATGATATGATTCAGCATCCCTTTAAAGCTACTCGTTCGCGCTACTTTCACACACGCGGTGTCGGTTGGCGAAATAAATGTTATCGCATATCTTCGCATTCACAAGTCTCTCCTTGGTACGCTGATTGAGCAACTTTCAGATCCCGAGTTCTACTCCTCTTGGGGGACGTCTGGAATTTTGCTCGTTCTTCTCAATTTCTCTACCTTCCATTTTCAGGCAGTATTCTCATTCGTTTCGTGTTACAGAAAACATTTTCCAAAACGGGCATGCTGAAAGAAATGCTATCGCATTTAAAATACACATTTGTACTCTTGAGTAAGTAATATTAGGTCATTCATTCATTTGTCGATATCACCTCCATCTTAAAATAGTGGTTTGTTTCACCATAACATACACTCTGATCTTAATATGACAATAAATCATGAAATATCTCTTGTGTCTTATTACGTTTTTAAGAAGACGGTCGATATTTCTGCAATACCACTTGCGAATAGACGTGTCCTTGTTAGAGTGTTTTTCAGTCTTCTTTATATGCTTATGAGATGATAATACATATACGTATACGTAATACATCTATTGTTATACTCTAGTTTTATTAGCGTGTTTCTGTTGTATGTTTAAAGTGACATAATAGTTGTGTTTTCCTTTCATAATCACACGATATGTCACTTTTGTTTCTTAATTTCTGTTGTACTAGATTTACATACCTTGACGTTTGAATTCCCTCTACTAGTTAGAATTGTCACACAAGTAGTAGTGTACATTTAGTGGGACCTGTACCTACCATTGTGGCGTCAACAAAATACGGTAATAATGTATAGTTGCAGCCAATTGAATCCTTCTGAGTCATCAATAATTCTTGAGGCAAGGTTTCAAGTCCATTTTTATTTTCTTTCGCTGATGAATCTGGGCCAGAATTTTAATAGGGAAAAAAAATCGGATGTAAGTGTTTTTGTTTTTTAACTCTTTATAACAACCGACAAAACTGGGCAGAGCATTTACACAGCGGAAATGAAGCATTTCACCTTGCTCCACTAAAACAAAGTTGTAGAAATAAATATAATTTCTAAGGAACTTTAAAAAGTGGCATTGCTTTTTTAGGGAATCGGGGATATCAAAATACACACTTTGATACGCGTGTTCTATATCAAATAAAACACCCAGCAAGATAGTTTAAGAAATCGATTTTGACCAACCGTCTTGAGTTAGTTCGAAGCATTGATGTACACACTGTATTTATGTCTTGTTGCAGATCTCAACGGCATTTCTTACTTCAATAAACTTAGAAAATCTCGTCTGGATGCAACTTCATCGCATGTAGTTCAAAAGGGACCTATCAACATTGTGCGCGTACAGGTGACACTCAAGAGAGAGAGGACTGCGTGTTACTCGTCTGCTGGAGACCGCTCCATCTTTTTCTTTTTCGTCTCTGTTGTCTGCTAGAGCCTGTTCCATACGGTCAGTTCTTGGCACTCCTTTTGGCTCCGCAGTTAGTGGTCTATGCTTTGCAAAAAGTCTATGACAGTGAGCCTTTGTCCGATTCCAAGTGCCTCAGTTGCATTTTGAACCCACAAACTCGTAAGCGCAGGCACCACAGATAGGCATGCGGCCCGTATAATGAATGCCTCTGAGGCCCGTCTAGGGGTGATAATGATAAATGTGGGGCAGTGATAATGTACAGTGGGCCAGCACGAAGACTGGGTCTAAGTTCACTGCAGGTGTGTGGCAGCTTCGCGACAAAGTTGCAGAACCTCGGGTTGGTCGCCAAGGGGCACGTTAGTTATTCTTTCTCTTTTTTGCAATGTTTCAAAAGTGCAGACCTATGGAGCCGTGAATTGTAATTTTCTTGTGTGTATGTTTAGACACCGGGAAGTTAATGAGCCCCGAGGGGGTCTGGTGTCTTTGTTGGAGATGAAAGCCAGGGCAGCATAGCGCTGCTGATCTGACGTCTTTAACGTGTATCACCCAATAGTCATACACGACCGCACGCCGGTACGAAGCTCATCCGGAATGGACCGGACAAGGGCGGGGTAATTTTAGAGCGCAGCTCTTAGGGGCCCGTTTCCGTCTTGAGCGGCGTTGCCGTCGGCATCGGCGTCGGCGTAACCTCGAGGTCACGTGCCCCCAAGGTCGCCCCCAAGGTCACGCGACCCCCAAGGTCACGTGACCCCCAGAGGTCGCGTGACCCCCAGAGATCACGTGACCCCTCCCCCTGGGCCACGCGACCCCCCTACCCCGCGGTCACGTGACCCCTCCCCCAGGGTCACGCGACCGCCTACCCCGAGGTCACGTGACTCCCCCTCTCCGAGGTCACGTGACCCCCCTCCGGCCCCTCCCCCCCCCCCAAAGTCACGTGACACCCCCCTCCCCCGACGCCACGTGAGCCCCTACCCCCGAGGTAAAAAAAATTGGCTTGCTCTTTATGTTTATACAGCCTTGATGGAGATGCGCCTCAACGGGTAATCGGTCTTTTAGCTGTAGATGAGAAATTTAGCCAGTGCGGTACAACCGCTAACCTGGGATTTTTAACGTGCATCACGCAGTAGTGATCACACGAACGCGTGCCGGTACGAAACTCATCCAGATCGAAACGGGCGGGGGCGGCGGGGATCGAACCCACCCCCGAGGTCAGGTGACCCCCGGAGCATATTCAAGAATGAGGGGAGGAGGAAGAGAAGGAGGACGGTTCTACCTTTCCCCAATTATCCTTCCCTCCTCCTCCCCCTCAGTCCCCTTCCCCACTCATTCCTCCTCAAGAGCTGCGCTCTAATTCGGCGTTACAGGGAGTTATAAAGGCTTTCTTTTTTGTATTTGTTAATACTGTTCACCCCAAGTACGGGGCTTTAACAGGTGTGTGATATAAGAGAACACACTATCATACAACGTCAGGACTACAATGCAAAAGACATTCAGCGACTTCTACTTATAATAATGGAGTTGAAATAGCACAAACATTGAATATATTATCTAGCACTGAACAAAATTCATTCTCAGCACTCAACATCCACTACCTAGCAAAAATATTAGAACTACTATTTGTCAGTTCATCTTACACATATTCAGAACGGCGCTCTCAAATCCATCTAAACAGTTCGATGATAAAATATTATGTGGGAGATTACTTCAATCTTTTACAGTTGTGGGGAAAAAGAAAACTTATAAGCGTCACTATTACATTTGGGCATTTCAAACTGATTAGTGCTAATGTATCTCAGTCATCTCGATGCGCGAAGTGTTAATCAAGAACCCGGGCCAAAAATATACAGGTGATGAAAAACCGATAGAAAAACTTTAGTCGAACGATATTTTGACGGCCGAAAATAAGGGGAGATTGAGGCTGTTCAGCATATCTGTGACAGAATCAAGTCGCTTTTATTTGGATAGAATAAACCGCACCGTATTCCTCTGAACTATTTCGAGTTCACCAATTCGATTTTTTCTATAGCGGTCCCAAACCGATGCAGCGTACTCCAAAGTTGTCCTAATATGCGCTGTGTAGGCCATTAACTTCACTTGAGACGGAGTACAGTTAAGATTTCTTCTTAAAACCAAAGCTTTTTTATTGCTTTGTGACATACTGTAAACGACTTATATTTTCGCGAGGACCTAATTTTCGCGAATTTCGCAAATCACCTACAATACGCCAGAACAAGCGAGGAGATGTGTTATCTACTTCCTACAACTATTGCGCCAAAATCATAATCGTCGCGAGGAAATGATTCTTGCTAGCCACAGAATACTATAACGCAGAAAGGGAATACTTGAATATGCTTTTATTCTAGATATAAGTCAGGAATATATATATATATATATATATATATATATATATATATATATATATATATATATATATATATATATATATATATATATATATATATATATAACAGAGAGATGGAGATAGAGGGGCAGAGAAAGGAGCATAGTAGGACGATAAAGTGAACAAAGTTGGCAATGGCCGATGGCTGCAGGATCCTTTCTTGAATCACTAGTCCGTAATATGATATATTTTTGTACACAATAGTTTCTCCTCACTTTCACTGTGTGAACGATTGCTATAGTTATCAATTGCCTCATCTGAATAAAAATATATGAAAGATGTGTGTTAGTTTTATAAAAGGGAAACTCAGAGTCACTTCTGGTATAGGACACTCCTAAGTGTACGCTTTCATAAAGGAACCTAATTTAGGAAGTTATGTCTTCTTTCTCAATCAAATAAGGCATCATGTTCTTTTAATAAAAATGAATGCAGAAATAGAGTACGACAGGGTACCTAAATTTAAAAAAAATCGAAGGTGGTGTTTCTTGTTTTATTCGTATCGGAATTTTTCGTTCTTTGATTTTTCCCATGTTTGCCTTAATATATCACAACTATCGCATCACTCAGATACCTAATAGTTATATTAAATATTTTCCATATATAAGAATAATACAATCTGAAAAGTATAGGATGTGAATAAATTATTTCATAAGATATTGGCCCCGAAATGTTTCCATTTAAAATGCAATTTATTCTTTAAAAATATATTATTACTATCAATTACAAGCAAACTGTACCCATCGTCTGTCCATAAAACGTTTTAAAATTTTCCTAATTTTATTGTTTTAGTTGTTTACTTTCAAACGTGCTCCCTCCATCAGTGTGCGTTAATGCAACTGTCCACCTTTTCATGCCCTTATGAATTTTCCTATTCCCAAATTCTTTTTCTAGTCAAAACTAAGTGTGGATTTGTTTATACCAGACACTATACAACGGCATATAGAAACATCAGTTGATTTTAAAATGTCGACCAGGTACCCTTTGGTCGATCTTAACTGAAATTATCAAACTACTAATTCGCTTAAAAATGTGTTCAAATAGATGTAACAGTCGAGTTTATACCGTCCTGATTATGCTATTGTTTGTGGGCTTATAAAGAGGACTGGTTTCCTTTGACCACTTGTGGATTTGAAGATGTGTGGTGTTTGCGTTTGTGTTTCGTGATATGAAGTAGCATGAGAAAGACCGGCGCAAACGGTAAGAGTGAAATTCGCTCGAGGAAGGTGGGCTATTGAACCGTCGGCGTTGGGTAGGAAGCGTGACTGAAAGCAATTTCAAGGCGACAAAGAGGGGCTTTAGCAGTACTTGAAGCCCCTCTATCCTGGGAAAAGTGGCGCCATTCATTGTTGCGGAAATGCTCGAGACACGTGCCGCGCGCGACTTCTGGGGAGAACATGGTGACTGAAATATAGCTCAGTGCTGCGCTGTTCCACCATGATCTTCCCAAGGGCTGCACGTTGCACGTGCCTCATGCATCGACGCACCTTGCATTACTTTTGTAACATGAAGGGGCTTTAGCAGTACTGCAGCCGGACGTATAGACCTATCGAATGTTTACAAAATCACAGTCCAGCGTGCGATCTTCACAGCTCAGCACGTGCGTGTTCGTCGCTTCGGAAAGCGAGCAAAGCACGCGCCATACGCACAAACACTAAAAATGGCACCGGCCACACGCTCTTTTCTGGAGAGATCTATGTCCGGCATCGCTCTTATGCTTGTTCGGAACGAAGGAGCGATTTTCCCAGGCAAGAGAGCGCAAGGGAGTTTTTTTAGCCCCACCTTCTTTCGGGCCATCGTCGAAATAAGGCACCTTCTTGGGTCACCCATAAATAGCCAATGCGCAGACAGCCGGCGCCTCTAGTGACGAATCTGTCATGCGACCATTAACTGACGAGATCCCGCGAGGCCTGCGAGGAGAGCAGGTGAGGGCCAGATAACCATGAGATAACGCCGCCGCGCCTTGCGCGCCTTCGATTGATTTAAGGAGACCATAGGAAACAAACAAACAAAAAAAGACGCAACTTTGTGTGGCGCCCCAAAGCCATAGCATGACGAAACGCTACGGCCTCGACATTTAAGGCGCGCG